TTTTAAAAAAATTTTTTTTAAAACAATGGGCCTATTCCATGGGCCTGGGCCTGGAGCTGCAGCTCCATCAGCCCCTATGTTAAGCCGGCCCTGCCTGCACTTCCAGCTCCCAAATATTTAGCTGATTAATAAACACAGCACAGACCAGGATGTAGCTGAAACCTCTGTTTGCCTAGGCCCTCTTCTTGTTTTTAGTGGGAACACTAAGCATTTCCCACATACATAAAAAAAAAAAGTTGGCTATTAAATTTATGTGTGGATCCTAATCCTAAATTCTACAAATATTTGTCAATTGTCAATTTTTTGCAAGTTCAACTACATTATTCTTACTTAATGTATGGCCCTATCCTACTACAGAACATACTTTTATTTTCTATCTCTTTTTCTTTTTTTCTTTTAATTCTTTATTTTTTGTTGTGCATATGTTAACAGATATTCCTGCACTGTCACAGTGAGCATAAAACTTTTAAAACTATTGTTTTGTTCCATTTCGATTAGTCGGCACATTTTTTAGTAAGGTTTGAATGCGATTGAGATAGTTGCAAACATGGTTAGTGGAGTAGCTTGAACACCGATTAATCTTGCTTGACCTATGGGTATAATAATACAGAGGCTTTGGGCATGTACCTCTGCGGTTTCCCGTGACTTCTCTTTCATCCTATGCCCAGCGCATAGAAGGGTGTCTGGTATATTTGGGAGTCCTGCCGGGGCACTGCAAGGCGCAGTGTCATGAGCTCCAGTGGCTGTCTCGCCCGCCTGTCACTGCAGAGGCCTGTTCCGATGAAGTGGGTAAGTAGAGTCTCTCTCTGGTACTCTGGGGCTCTCTGTGTTGTTGAGTGGGTTTGGAGCTTTGAAGCAGGCTTGTCTGTTGTCTACTTTGCAGGTCGCGGCTTCATGCCGGGTCTAGGGGGGGTGCTTGTAGGCCGCTTTGTGTTGGCTTTACTGCGTGGTGCGATCTCACCTGTTTGTGTGCCAGCAGGGGGAGTCTTCGTTTTCGGCGCCATATTTTAGGTCCCTTTGGGTGGAGACTCGTGCGTCTGTGGAGGAGATATGCTGGCTTTTCATCAGGTGAGTGTACTGGGGCTTTGTTATGCCGCTCTTTATTAGCCAGGTGCGCCCAAAAGCCGTTGAATATGGCATCCAGCTTGGTCAGAGTGTGGTGCCATTCGAAACGACAGTCGTTTCTGCATGTGGCATCCTCCATTGTATAGGCCCGCGTGGCTAGGGGCTGCCTGTGAGGTTGCGCTGCCTGGAGAGGTTGGACCAGGATCACCCCCCCGGTCCTGAGGGGGGGGAGCGGGTAGTCCGTGGTTCGGTGCCTCTGGCTTAGGGGCGAGGGGAGCGGCCGCCCCCCCCCCCAGCTCCGTCCACCTCCATGGGTCCTCGATTGCAGGAGACACTTGAATTTGGCATAGAGTGATTCACCAGGGTGCCCCCAGCATGGGTAGTGTACCAGGTATTGTTTCAGGCATGAAATCTACGAGTATTTCCCTATAAACAGTCAGTGTGGCAAGAGCTCTTCCACCGTGCGACTGTTCAGCTTGCAGGTCAAGCCCCGCCCCCGACCTTCTATCTCGTAGTTACCCAAGGATGTTCTATTTTTCCTCATATCTCTCTTGATCATTTAGGAATATTATTATCAGAACTTTCCTTTTGAGCACCAATCTGAGGTGGTTGGGTTTCCCTGAAATTCTTATTTACGTCTATTTATTCCAATCCCTTCCAAGACGGTCATTAATGAGGAAACCAAATTCCTATGATGTCCTCACAGTTTGGCCATCATAAAAGTGGTATATTGTAACCATCTGGTACACAATATACTCAACTGTATAAATATTGGAGATGGTTGTTTTATGAAATTACTTTGTAAGGAATATTTTAGAGTAAATGTAAAGAGACCTTGTTTATTTGTGCCTATTAATAGAATTTATATTGAATTGTATAAACGTCTACATTTCTACAATGTAACACGAGAACAGTAACTTCAGCCATCCATAAACCAAGGAAAAATAAAATTGTCTGTAAGTGTACATGCCCCTAAAAGACCTTAAGAACAGAACATCTTGCCTTAATGAGTGCTTTCAGAAATAGAAAGTTGTTTAAAGAGAAAAAAAACAACATTTAAAATAACAGATTTATCAACTATGCATCATTCTCATGTCAAAATATTTCTGGACAAAGCAGATAGTGGGAAACAGTGCCCCCTAATGTAGTCAGGTGGTTTTTCTTTTTCCAGCAAATGCAAACTTTCTCAACTCGTTGATCCTTTTTATTCTTTATGTGTATTAAAATACGCTGCTACTGAATTCAGAGACACACTTTTCCATTTACACATTATAGGTTGTCATTGCATTATATTTTAAGAGGTGAGAATTTGATTTTACCAATACCCCTTCAGTTAAAATATTTAATGCATATTGCTGTTTTATGGTATGCAGCACACACCCGATTTTGCTTCATTTTCTGCATATTAACCCTTTATTTCCACAGCTTGTATTGGCAATAATATTGAAGATTATAGATTTTAGGTTTATCTATGTTTAATTATCAATGTAACTAAAAACAATGCTATTAATATTGTTGAGATGCAGGAAAATAATAAAGGTGCATTGCACCTGTTAACCCTTTGTGGTCAGTGGTGCCTGCAACACATTTATGCAGTCATTTATGACATTCAAATAGCTAGTATGAGAAATAGTGATTTTACACAAAAATGCTTAAAGTCAAGTATTTCATCTAACATCTGCTTGCAAACTGGCTCAGGTTATGTCTGAAAGACTTAACAACTCTAATTTTTTGTTTACAGTGCTTAAGCAGAAATATATAGAATATTTATAACCATTCATTTTTTAAATGTTAAATTATTGTAAAGGGGTTTACTCTTTAGTTACACATTTGTGTGAAAAAAACAGCAAACAAAAGTATAAGGAAATTGAAAATCCACAGTGTAATTACTTAGGAAATGGTTATAAACATTTGCAATTATTCTAACTAGGTTAACACGCTTCGTAAAACAATGGCTAGGCAGCCTAGCTCTTTGTAGGCCCAGTTAACACACAAGGGATAATGCATTGTTCAAGCCTACTCTTTTATAGCCAAATAAGCACTTTTAGGATTTTAGTATACTGTCAATAGCATGATCCAGCACTATTTACTGTCAGCGTAGTGGATTTTAACATTGCATGATACTAATATTCCATTTAAAACACATTATATAAGTCTTATAGGAAAGCAACTGTTGTATTTCAGAAGTAACTAGGTTGAATAATGTAGTGTAATGACTGCCCAGAAACCTTTTCTTCACCTTAAAGGAATCTGTTTTCTTCCTGCCTTCAATAACATTTCCTTATTTTCTTCTTTTCCTTCAAGTTAATATTTTTGCGGTAATTTACTAAGGCTAATATTTTAGTGCAAATTTCTGCCCCAAATAGTTAAGATAAGCTGTAAAGAAATAGTCCCAAATTACCTCCCCCCCATTTCTGGAATTTAGGCCTAAAATTGTCAATTCCCTTGTCCGTTCTCTACACGATTTATGATTTAGGGAATAAATTCCCAAATCACAATACCAGAACTAGATTCACATTATCTGACAATGCTGAGATCTCTTAAGAGAATTTAAAATTTTGGGTGAACAAAATAGCTGAGGCATAACATAACATACATTTTCCCAATTTGGCTATTTTGCAGAGTATTTGAAATTCCATAATGATTTATTCCCTTAAATTCATGCTTTAGACGTATATGTTGAAGTCATTAAAAGAATGGACATCTCATTAAATACTGTAATGGACAGAAAAAATAAGGGGAACAGCATTTGTACATTTCCGAGGGGCATATATATATATGTATATAAAACAAACTTGGTTACCTTCTTATAAACAGGTTAACACCGCAATCCCATTTTTTTATTTACTTCACCCTACATCTCGATGAGCAAATTTCTATCATAAATTGCAAAGAAGCATTTCTCTGACAGCTGAAGCCTGTTTCACTGTCCTGAGCAATTTACAGTATAGAGACATGAAAGTTCTGCTTTTTGTTACTACATCTACTCAAAAATGTATCTGTTTTAGAAGCCTTATATGATGAAGTTTGGTTGCAGGAAATATTGCATTAACATACTAGCACATTATGCTTTAAAACTTGGTAGCTTATTTTCTCCTTAATATCCACCTATTATAAAAGCGATTAGGGGTATACAGCTTTTGATCCCAATGCTTTCTTCCTTAAAGAATACTATAATTTTAAAAATATATCTGTTTCTTCAAATAAAAAATGTGGTTCTGTATAAAACAGAGGCAAAATTGCTAGTATAAATCAAACAGATCAAGCAGATACAGTATCTACTGTTGATTTAAACTAGCAATTTTACCTCTGTTTTATAAGGAACCACATATTTGAGTTGAATACATTTATTAAGGCTATGCCCTGTCCAGGTCTAGTGCTGGCTGGACTGCAGTGATCTAATTACATATAGATTTTCTTAGTGTCCTTAATATCTGTTTATGTCTTGTCTTCTGCACAAGTCTGTATTACCACAAAGATCCATCTGAACTCCCAGTAGTCTTATGCAGTGACGGCTGATGGGACTTGTTGTGGGCTAGAGCTGGCGCTTGAAATAACGATACATGGGGTCTGGGCATTTTTGCAGGAGCAAAGCACAGAAAATATTAAATGTCTTGTAAATTACTTTTAGACTTCAAAATTTGTAGGTTGTATGTCATTCAAATGGAAATTCTATATGTATTTTCCGTTAAGCTGCAAACGTTCAGGTTAATGTCTGTGGTAAGTATTAAAGGCTAAATGCTTGTATATCCTTTTCTTCAAGTATGCTATTATAAACCTTATCATCTGATTGTCTGTACTGAAAAGACCGGCACAGTCTTATATTACGGTTAACAGCAGCTTCAGCGTAGAAAGGAAATAAAAAGGGTAACTTACAATTTGAAGGCAGCAGATGCTTGCACGCTTGCTATCCAGTCCTATTTTCAAACACTGTTATAATATCCCAACAGCCCTGGACTTGTCGCATCAAAAAAATAAAAAAAAATAAATAAAAAATAAAAGGTATACAATGGTAACAAAAGATCAATATTGTCTTTGCCAGTTACTGCAAATTTTCCACGAAACTATTTCAGGCTGAGACATGGGGAACAGAGATAAAAAGCGGCTAATAATTATTTTTTTTAAATGAGAGAAAAATCAGGAAAGAGTGGTTTAATAAAGGAATAAAATATCCAAAGGGAGTTAAGTGTCACAGAAAATCAGGGGAAAAATATCAAACATAAGAAGGGTTTTGAAAATTCTATTGTAAGGTATTAGGAGAGCCAGGCTGAGGTTGATGCTGTGCTACGCAGAGCAGCCTGAGATGTGCTACATTGCAATGTGTTTCCTCTGCTCTACCACTTCAAGGCTATACACTTTGCTTGCATATCCCTCCCCCCTCCCACTACTAAGTATCACTCCTTCTGAGCCTCTCCGGTGTGAAAGGAGGGGTCCCAGCAAGTGTGTGTGTGGCTCAGACACTACTGATGAAAATTATGGGCAGAAAAGGAAGAATAGAAAACAAGAGAATAGATTGAAGAAATGCATAGCAGAATGTATAAATTAATCTGCCTATGTGGCATGTTAAGTGGTATGGCTATTATACCCCGAACTCCATGATTAACCTCTGTATTTTTTGGTGACGTGCATTTACAGATTGGAATGGAAAATCCAATGTATAGCATGTACATTTTTTGGCAGCAGTCATTAATATTTCCTCTTCCTTTCTAGCATTGTCGTATTACCTAACCCTTTTATTAAATTGCCCATGTCACCTTGTATCATCCAAATTTAAATGCTTACATATTCATTTATTTAGGGATTGCTTTCATTGGAATAATAATTTGGTATTTATCCAATAGACCAGGAATTGGAGAGAAGTCACAGGGAAACTGTAAACTGAAGGGTGAATTGAAAAAATAAAATCATCAACATACACTCCCAATGTATGTGATGCAGATAAATGCTGTTGTATATTAACAAAAACAAATGATGAATTTCAGGAGCAATAACCCCTTAAACATTTTTTTTTTAAATCTTTGTGTCATTATTGCTTGTGAATTTTGCAATCTAAACTATAGTTCACCTTTCCCCTTCCTCCTTATGTATGTAAATGGATCATTGATTGAACCCACTCTGTTATGAAGGTGTACATCCATTGTCATGTAAGTGCTACAAATCTAGTCCCTGGGAAGTTGAGTTCATGATTAGACTTGTGTGGAACCATGTCCATTCCAACTGTATGTTAGCGTCCTGTGTTGAGGTTATAAGTCACTGAAAGGCACATCACCATTCACTATGATGTTTCTCTGTTGTTTGACATCTATTTGTAATTGCAATTTGTGCAGCACACTCTGGATTTATACTCCAATTCACCTCACCCATAGCAAGCTTGTTAGCTCATTATTTGCGTCATCTTTAAATCATTATGTTCATGTAAACATGAATTCATGAAAACATAGATTCCCCTTGTTCAGAAAATACCTCTACTTCGTGTTAAAATAAAATTTCATAAAATAAAATATTAATTATAAAAATAATCATCTGGTATTTCTTGTTTTTTTCTCCTTGTTTTTTGAGCATTTGTCATCACCCTGTTCCCCCTCAAGAAGCGCCATCAGTCTCTTTATCATAGGACTCATATCCTGTGCAGAATCTAATTTTCCTCATTCCCATCAGTAGTGTCAGGCCGTATCTGGTCCGGCTCCGTTCCGGCATTTCCGGTATGCGGAACCGGCTCCGCCCCCTTTCAGACGCGGCTCTTACACACTTTATAGAGAGACCGTGCCAGATTCAAGGTGCTTGGTGATTTCGGATGTTACTTCCGCATTCAACGCCGGCTTAGCTTCTCTTCGTTCCTAACGCGTACCGAACTTGGATTGTTGTAACACTTCCGCATTCAACGCCGGCTAAGCTTCTCTTCGTTCCTAACGTGTACCCAACCTTGGATTGTTGTAACGGACTTTTGCCTTCTCATTGTCCTCTGACCACGGACCGTATTGGAGTTATCGGATCTCTACTTATTTCCTTGAAACCGGACTGTTTATGTCAAACATCCTTTGGACTCAATCTCAGTTCCATGGAGGACAACTCCCATCAATCTTAAGTATGCAATTTACTTCTATCTCTGAAGGTTTACTTATTAATGAACTTTTACTTGCTATAACCTGCATTTACTAAAATATTATTGCAATCATTAAAGCCTTTTCTTTTCCACTTATTGCCTGCAACCTCCACCTTGCTTTAAAGCTACAGTAACCTTATTAATTTAAAGGATTTCTCCTCTTTTTGCTATTGTAACTAAGGAGTTTTACAAGCTTCAGTTGAGTTCCAAATCCCAAACCTCTTGTGACATAACAAGTAGCTAACATGTTATCGGTATCATCAGTAAGTTTATTTTCAAATATTACCAGTAGTAGGAAAGTCAATAAGAAATCGAAGTGACGAATAATCTGAGGCCACTGCTCCCCAGACATGATTTTGTCTCTGAAATGCTCCATGTAAAATGCGCACAAATTGTTAACCTTTCTCAGTTAATTCTAGAAACTTGCATTAGTACTCTAGTAACTGTTCCTTTACGCCACCCAACTAAGGTTAAAAGGCCTCCTAATTTTATTTAGAAAAAATTCAGTTTGTTTATAGTATTCATATTGTTATTGTAATTAAACAACATTATATATATTAATTCCTGCTAGTTTATCCCATGGGTTTAGAATAAAAATACACTTTATTAATTCAGCTGTTGTTACATAATGTCTTTTGGAGTAAAGACTGCCGTTTGTGCATAATTTGTGAATCTGAGTCTCCCCTCTGGTACACAACTCGCACCACTCGACACACACCAGGCTCGTCTGGCTTCCTCTAGCAAATGAGTTCACCCTTCAATGAGCTGAAACCCATTGTGTACGAGGCAGCTTACTGCTAGTGCTATGAATACCATAATTCAGAGCCCTTTGTACGGGGTGTTAATAGCCCTATTGCTCTTTCTATTGCACCACTGGAGGAAGGATTTCCATATTAACCAGGGAATTAGTGGGTGAAAGACTGACAGTTGAAATTAGTTTGGCTTTTGCAGGTGAGAAGGAGAGATAATAGTGTTAAAATAGTGTTACAGAACGTGGTAAATGTTTTAATGATGTCATTAGGAGAATAATTTGGAAACCTCAAAGAAGGCATGAAAAAAAGGTATATGGATGCAGAGGACTTGGGGAGGGAGAAGGAAACCCTTTGCAGTAAGGTTATCTCTCTGCCCAGGTGACAAAAAAAATAAAAAAATTACTTTCACTTCAATGAGGAATGCATCTCTTCAGCTCCTATTTAGTTCTGCACAGGTCAAGTGCTACCCTTAAAGACTATAGATTTTATTGGATAGGCTCCATGGAGTAATATTAAAACAGGTTGTGATCAATGAAGTTCATGCTCGGTCTACCTCAGCACATTTACTTTACCATTCTCATATCTACAGTGTTTCTCTTTAGCTGTATAAGAAGTTGAATTGTATAATGGTAAGGACAACTGCTTACAATGAGCAGTTTTTTTGTACAACTCTCTTATCAGAGAGCTAATTTGAACGGTTGCTGTACATTACATCGTAAAATATGACTGTGAAAGCAATAGGGTGATAAAGCGCCATTGTTTTGGCCAGTTTACGGCTTTGCACTAAATCTATCTGTACTGTTTCTCAATAAAACACAACTGGAACACTTACATGAGGTTGTCCAGGAGAAATAGGTATGTGTGCATACATCCCTGCCACTTACTACCGGTGACTGAGTTCAATACTGTACCTGTGTTGCACTTTATGCATACTGACACCAAGGACGCCTGACATGTTAGTGGGGTGGGGAGCAGTGACAGTTAAGTCCGGTCAAATATCAGATTGTATGGTGCAATTAATAAACCCTAAATTCTGTTTGTAAGGCACAAAACATTTAGTTTCGGCGTCTCTCCATTCTAGCTATGCATGTGTTCACATATCTGTCTTGCTCTGCTACACCTGGTAGATTGAAACTACCCTCAGTATCCCGAGCTTGTTCCTGTAACTGATTACAACAGCAGATCTTCAGAGCCTGATAAGCTTCAGTTAGTTGTTTTTATAAAAAAAAAAAAAAGTCTGCTGAGGCTTCAGCTTTAATTGTCTTCTATGAGTGCAACTTCACAACAGAGGCCCATTTTTGGGCCCCCAGACTTGTTTAGACCAGTGGTTCCGAAGTTTTTAAGGTTCAAGGCGTACTTAATATTTCAGTATTTTTCCAAGGCACCCCATGTCAAAACAAAGTTCTAGGTTGTATATCTGTAGAGCGCTGTGGCATATACTAGCACTATAGTATAATGTGTAGTGTTGGTGTTTGAGTGAAGGGGTGCTTGTCATTTTAATGTTTTAATACATGGGTGTGTTTGTATGTAATGTTTACGTTTGGTTGCAGGGGTATGTTTGGATGGAATGTTCGCTTTAAATGCGATGTACATTTGTGTATAGTATTGTTGTTTGAGTGAATGGGTGTGTTTGTATATGATTTTGCAGTTTGAATAAATTGGTGTGTTTGTATGTAATATTTGTGTTAGATTGCAGGAGTGTGTTTGGACATATACACATACACCACCACATATACACCCTGTTCCAAATTATTATGCAAATGATATTTTTCTCACTTACCTAAATAATTGATGTAAATAACAGTCAACATAATTCTCATGTTATCAGCTATTAAGAGTACAATTCAAATTTTATTGAACAAACCTCCTAATGATAGTATTTTTTTTTAAACATAAAAAACTTACAATGCACTGTTCCAAATTATTACGCACAGTAAGTTTCAAAACACTTTATAGGTTGTAAAGAACTGAAAATTTTAATTTGTTGTGTTTGCAGCATATTTACTGAAATCAAATGCTATTTCAATCAAACTTATAACAACATTTTAACTTTTTAAACATTTTAACAGGTCGCGTTACATTTTAACATAGGACCCCTTATTTGATAGCAGCTTCACAAGTCTTGCATCCATTGAACTTGGGAATTTTTGGACAGGTTCTGCTTGAATTTGTTTGCAAAATGCCAGAATAGCCTCCCAGAGCTGCTGTTTGGATGTAAACTGCCTCCCACCCTCATAGATATTTTGCTTGAGGATGCTCCAAAGCTTCTCAGTAGGATTGAGGTCAGGGGAGGATGGAGGCCACACCATGACTTTCTCTCCTTTTATCCCCATAGCAGCCATTGATGCAGAGGTATTCTTTGCAGCATGAGATGGTGCATTGTCATGCATGAAGATGATTTTATTAGGGAAAGCATAGTTCTTCCTTCTGTATCAGGGAAGAAAGTGGTCAGTCAGAAACTCCA